GCTTCCGGCAGCCAGCCAATAACCAGAGAGCGCACTTGTAGAGCGGCTTCTGCTGGAAGACTTGGCAGCTGAGTTTTGGAGTTTGGAAGAAGGAGAATAAGTTATGCTCAGATCATGGCAGCGGTGCCACCCTGGCCCTGCAGGGAGAACTAGGCCAGGGCATGGTGAGGCTGGGAGGCATGCTTGCTGGGGGTGGAACAGGTGCTTACGCAACTCCCCTCTCCAGCCTGGCAGAGCTCCATGCACTGACCTAGGGGGTATCCTGAATGTGTCAAGACATGGGAGCTGGGGAGCGGGCAGAGCGCCACATGCCTTGGCGCCTTAGGGATACCCCCTAGGTCAGTGCATGGAGCTCTGCCTGGTTGGAGACGGGGGTTGCCGAGCGGTTGCTCGTGAGCATGGTCTTTGGGAGCCAGTTCGCAAGGGAGCAGCTGCCTGACAACCCCAAAACAATAAGCCCTCCTCCTATAATAAGCCCAAGGCCATATTTCGTGGGGCAAAAGAAAATAAGACCCTGTCTTATTTTGGAGGAAACACAGTAGTATCTGCGTTAACATTTAAAAATAGCAAAAAATGTAGCACTTGTTAAATATAAGTACCTTCATCCATAAATAAAAATATATCTAAATATTTCAAAAATGGAAAGTTGCTAAACAATCTTGAATGAACGAGAGCCTTTAATGTTTCTTACTTTGTTTTTTTATATATAAGGTATATGGATGTTGTATTTCAGAATAATGTGCTTTTGGCAAGAGTCTTACGCTATGTGGCTAATTTATTTTAAAAAACATATTTTTTTATAAGGAAGCAGGATATAGAATGCAAATCAATTTCAAATTATTGAAATTCAATGTTTTGGCTTTTAATTGTAAAATGTTAGTTTGTTCATAATTTATTGATTTCTTGCATTTTCAAATTTTGCTAATATTTATTGTTAAGAAGCAACAGAAATGCTTATTCAGTATTACATATTACCAGCAATAGTAGAGATATTCTAACTTTATTTTGTACAAGAACTACATTAATCCTGGAACAACAGATTTTCTAATTATGCAGAAAACTTTCACTTACTTCATTAAGAAAGGAAATAACTATATGCATTTGGTATGGATATAGGTTTACCACATAATTTAAATAGTTTTATATGGTAGATAAAACTGGTTTTACAAATTAAGTTACAAACTAAGATAGTAGATTGTAAGAATGTGTGAAAAATATATTAATTAGCTAAACTTACTTTTTGGGCATGAACCCTGACTACATTCTAATTTCTGATTTTAGATGACCTCTGATTTTAGGACAGGAGACAGGCAAACAAATGCTCAATGTTCTGGTATTATGTTCAGAAATGTTTTCAAATTTGAGCAGCAGTCTGACATGAATTGCAAATTTTAACTGCTTACATAAATGAAATATAAATAGCAGTTATCCTTTACATTTATACAAGAAGATGAGGACAAGGTGCCCTTTTAATCAATTTAAGACAAAGTGCTGTCTTTTCCCATGTTGCAAGACAGAATACATTCAGAAGACTTTAAAAAAATGGAACAATCTCTCCTATATAAAAATAGTAACCCTTAAAAGAAAAATTAAAAACATCATGAATACAAGGAAATACATTCTTTACATTCTGTCCTGACATTTACACATTAGTGAATGCATAGACGAAAATGTGCAACTGGGCAATTTGTGGTGTTTTTCCCCTTATGGTGTTAGCATTCAGTCCTTGTGCATTTTAATTAATAAAGGAATGCCGATGATTAAAGGCACACTATTTGGATCCCTTTAGGATCACAATAATCGATTTTCCCAGTTTTGCTGAATATTCTTTTTATGATCTATGTATGCCCAGTACTATACCTAGAAACTGCATTTATTTCTCTTTTCTTTTACCTCTTTACTGGATTATGAACTATAAAACAATCTTTGTATATAAGGCAACATTCACCTGATGTCTCTTGCATTACCAACAAGCTCATCTACAATGAAGAATGTTTTCCTCCAATATAATGCTTTACTGTTTTATTCTGATATTAATTTTTATCACATAAATGACATCAATTGTTCTAGTCTAAAAGTAGAATACATCTTGCTCAACATCACCACTCTGTACTACCACAAGACACATGCACAAAAGACCAAAAGTGCTCTTCCAGAATGATAAGCAAAACAGATGTTTTGCAATCACAATCTTCACCAACATCTTGGTTCTCCCCTATTTCAAGGAGCAAAACATCACATTGCTTCATCTGGAAGTGCCTGATTTCCTGATACAACATGACTAGCATTTGGCTGCTTCTGAGGTATAATCTGAAACGCTTTGCAACAGAACTGACCAGCTACGGATTCAGGAAATCAGCATGAAACCAATAACGGGAGGGGGAGAGTCATTCTCTGGGAGAATCCAGTCATTAATTTTGCTGATTATTGATTGATAAGTCTCAGAGCATCCAAATATCAATTTAATAAAGGGTGGAGATACTGAGCTTAACTGGAAAAATGGAATTGTATTCTGTTCAAGTTTGTAGTTTTAGAGGGCAAACTACTTTTTTCAAGGGTAGTAATTTTTTTACTACCATATTCTTTTCGGGTCCTTTTTTAAAAAACACAGCTGAGAAACTGATAGTGGATACAGTATGAATGTGTGTGTATTCCTTCCTCCCAGAGGCATACAGAATGGAAACATCTATTCACAAAGTTTCCAATCAGGTAATTCACTTTGCTTTTCCGATATAAAATCAATGCTACTGGTTACCTCAATCATACACTACTTTCATTTGCAAAGATGTTGTTGACTGCACTACTGAATGTGCACATTTAAAAATGTCTATTTCTATATTCCATTCTTCTGAAAGACAACACTTCTCAGTAGTTGCTTTACATGTAACCCTCACTTTTGAATATAAATATTTTTTTTCCTGAAAAAAAAAAAACACTATTAATTGATTTGTGCTTGCCAGTTTCTGGCAAATTGTGCCTCTTTTTTCTCATTTAAAGATGCAAATAAATAATATCCAATATTAGAAATAATTACTATATTGAAATGTCTTTTAAAAACATGTGCCCAAATTCCGCATTCCACAAGCATATCCTTACATAACGCTCTTGAATAAACACATATTCAGTATTGCATCAGCTGGTGATTTTGCATGTGTGTGTTCCTTTCCTTAAAAGATACATTGAAAACTGTGCCTTTAGCTTTAAAATTCATGGGAATGATTCATGAACCACTGGGCTTACACTAAGACTGTTGCAAGTGCATGGATTGAAAAGGAGAAACAAAGGGCCCAAAATATTCTTTGGGATTTATCACAGAAATATCTAAATGAGCCAGAATTTCCTAACTCTACACATATATTACATGTTTATCTATTTACACAAAATCTAAATGACAGCATAAAAAGCACTTTGCAGAACACTCTTTTTTTATCATAGATATTTTGACATTCTTCAGGTTGGGCACACTTGAATAGAGCAGTTTTTTTATTATTATTTAAAAAAGGAATCCAAGAAGAATATCAGAAGAAATGTGATATAAATGTGTCGGATTTGTGACAGGAAAAATAATACTTTTCTACAAAAAAGGAAGTCCTGTTTATTGAGTCCTACTAATTTCTCATGATGTCACCTTCTTTTTCAGTGCAGACAGCTCTTTGTGAATCTCGCTGAATTTTGGTCTCATTTCAGGATTGTAATCCCAACACCGTTGCATTATTTTATAGATATCTTCTGGACACTTCTGAGGTGCTGACATTCGATAGCCTAGTATGTGTTTTTTAAAAGAGAAATTAGAAATGTAATCGAAGAGAAAGTACAATTTAAATTTAAATGATCAAACCTACTTAGAAACAACTCCTATACAATATGACTTATACATACATACCAGTGATGGGTTCCTAATTATTTGGATTGGTTCGGCCAAACCAGTAGTAGCTTGGCAGCCTGGGTCGCTGGAACCGGCAGCGATTTAGGTCTGCCATGCCCTTGAACCGGTTCTCCCGGCAGTGCTGTAGGTGTTTTTTGCTTCTGCATATGCACAGAGCAATTTTAATTGTACTAAGCATGCTCGCAAAGCGCATGTCACGTCTCTGAGTAAACCAGCAGTAGTCTCTGCCAGAACCCACCCCGATACATACATACATTTTTTTTAAAAAAATATTGAACAGGATCTTCTTTGTTGCAGTGCCTGCCCTCTGGAACAGCCTCCCCACTCAAGATTTTAGGGTTGCAACTGGCTGCTTTCCACAAAGCATCAAAGACTGGGATANAGAGAGAAATACAGTAGATGGGGGGGGGGAGAGAGTAGGTAGGTAGGTAGCTGTTTCCAGATATATTTATCCATGTGCTATAGAAGGAAATCGCTGACAACCTGTAGCACCTGACTTGTTTCTGTTGGCACTTGATCAATGTAATTCTCATCAACAACTCTAACTAAACAGCTTTCCGAAAGGAAAAAAAAAGTTTTTGCACTCTGCAAACCTCCCCAAAATGACCCGTTTTTTGCAAAAACAGGCCATTTTTTTTCCAAAAAAAGAGGCATGAATAGCCTTGGGGGGAGGGCTTGCAGAGTGCTCTTGGGGGGGGGGGCAAAAACAAGCAAAAAATGGGCCATTTTTCATGAAAATGGGCTATTAGTTTTGTCAAAAAAATTGCATGCATAGTCTTATGGAGGCTTATAGAGTGCTGCTGGGGGCTGGGGGGGGATGCAACAAATGGCCTGTTTTTCGCTAATTTCTGCCCTCCCCAGCCCCCAGGAGTTCTCTGAAAGCCTCCATAAGGCGATGCGTGGCCATTTTGGTGAAGGGGCGGGCTTCAGAATGCAAAAAATGCTGTATTCAGTGTATAAAATGCACCCATATTTTCAACCTCTTTTTAGAGGAAAAAAAGGTGTGTCTTATACTCTGAAAAATATGGTAAGTATCTTTAAGTGTTTTAATCCTACTGTCTTATTTAAACAGTGTATGCTGGGGAAACTACTGATAGCAGCAATGTTTCCTTACCATAGTTCAAGGCCTCTGGGGCAGTCCATTTAATTGGAATTTGCTTTAATCCTGAAGATGAATATACTCCGTCATCTTCTTGACGAGACATCCCAAAGTCACTAATTTTGAGAACATTATTTTCACCTACTAGACAGTTTCTTGCAGCAAGGTCCCTGTATTGAGAGAAGATACGGTCTTTAAGACATCATAATAAAACCAGCATTTTTAATATTCAAAAGCTAAATGAGTTAAGACCAACATAATCTCATTATTTTTGTACCAGGAAAAAAAACTAATTCACTGGGGGAGGTATGGCAAAAATGCACAATATAATATCTGGAAAATAAAAGTATTTTTGCGCCATCCATATGAGAGTTTCCAAGGAAAAAATATGCTAAGGTGACATTATTTTTGAGGATTATATCCAGTACAATAAAGAGTAACAAATCAGACTTGATATAGAAGAGTGATGGCTAACCTTTTTGTTGTTGCATGCCAAAAGCAACCCCCCCCCCGCGCTCCCCCACGCATGTACCCCACCCCCTATCATCCATTTTTGGCTTCCAGGTTGGTGCAGGAGGCTTTTCAGGCACGAGCCCCCAAAATGCAAAGCGAACACCCCCCCCCTACACATTCCCTGCCTGCACCCTGCCTCTTGCGCATGTGCAGTAGAGACCCGAAGACCAGCTCGCTGGCGGGAGGCATGCATGCATGCGCGGTAGAGCTGGGCTGGGGTGATGGCTGGCATGCCTGCAGAGAGGGCTCTATGTGCCACCTATGGCATGCGTGCCATAAGTTCGCCATCACGGATATAAAAGGTAGTCCAGCTTCTCACAACTGTTTAATGCAGAAGAGAAAGAAACATTATAATTTAATATTTAAAATATATTTATTTTGTATTTATTACTATAGGGTACTCCAAAATATTTTTCTTTACTACTGATTGCTAATGAGATATGTGATTTAAAGGCCAACCATTTGTTTCTTCATGTTTCAACTGTATTTTTAGATTTAAAGTCCATACTCTTAAGTTTATCTTTCATTTTAAGAAATATTTGATCAAATATATCAGGACATATTGGAAGTATATATTTTGATCCACACCTTTCACATTCCTTGGCAATGATTGTACTTGTTGGATCTGATGGAAGTTGATATTTAAAACATCTGGAGAGCACTACAGGAAAACAACAACCGTTCGAATGAAGTGAATAGCCAGCCAATTAAATTCTTCCAAAATTGGTGAGATTTGGAAGTTTTACAACTCTCAGAGAGGACTGAAATAATCCAATCTTATTATAGTCGTTGAAGTAAGATAGCTAACAGTAGCGGGGGGGTGGGGGTGGTGAGAAGGAAGAACAAAATTTCAGTACACCCTGGTGTAATGCAATACTGTATTTACGTGAAAAGAATTAAAGTCTGCTTTTAAAATGATACATACAGACACAGACACAGACAATTTATTTACATTGCTAATCTAGGTTTGCCAATTCCAGTTGAATTGAATGTTGGAACATGCACTTCCCATTCAAATAATTGTGCATCTATGTACCTATGTGCAAATGCACTGCTACAGGCCACACTCTCAAAAAGGGGTGGGGGGAGATCAGGGCAAAAATCAAATAATTATTAATAGAATTAATACACTGATGATTAAAATTAAAATTAATTACATGTAAAATAAAGCATTCCAGCCATAAAAATAAATTGGCCCCCTACCATATTCATGAATATGCATAAAGCCTTCTTTTTCAGACACAAGCTCACAGTCTTGCCTCTTTCTCCTTCAACAAAAGCAGCAATAAAAGAAGAAAAGGAGGAGGGGGCTGTATTAGGAAAGATCAAGAGAGGATGGAGAACAAAAAGAAGAAAGACTGATGAAAACTCAACGTATAATACACCTGCGATAAATCTCACTGTATTATGGAATGCAATGATGCTTCTAGTCTTGTTCAACTATTATGAAATCTTGTAAAAGTCAACTTTTGGTTCCAGGAAGAGGATGAAGGAGTATTGCTATACGTGTCCTTGTTACCTTCATTCTTAGAGGTCTGTCTACAATGAGGAATGGAAGAAAGAGAAGACTCCATTGCATTTCCTGTTTTAAAAAATGGAATCATTTTCCAAACCTTTTTCCTTGTTGCCTTTGATCAGGCAACCATAATGATTTCTATCTTAAAAGGAGAACTTTTAAGATTTGCATTACATTATGAACAATTTGTCCTGTCATGAAGTTGTTGTTTTACTGTGGGCGAGTAGAAATGTAATAATCAAACCAGCTCGGTGAACTTGGGTCAATCAGTTTCATCCCAAAACATTTCACAGGGTTGTTGTTGTGGGGAAAACAGGAGAAAGGTGTGGCTGCGTTTGCCATGTTATTTGTACAAATAATAAACCTGGGTTATCAGTCACTTAATCAATGTTTGGAACTAAAGCACAATCACACTAAAAGTATGCCATATCAAAACTAAGAGTTGTTTTCAAAATAGAGCAGAAATTTGGAGAAAACTACAGGTAGTCCTTGTCTTACCATAGGTCATTTAGTGACTATTCAAAGTTACAGCGGCACTGAAAAAAGTGATTTATGACCAATGTTCACACAATCATTGCAGCATCCTCATGGTCATAATAAAAATTCAGATGCTTGGCAATTGACTCATGATGTTGCAGGTCCTAGGGTCATGTGATCATGTTTTGTAACCTTCTGACAATCAAAGTCAATGGGGAAGCCAGAGTCACTTATCATGTTAGTAACTTAACAACTGCAGTGATCCACTTAACAACTGTGGCAAGAAAGTTCATAAAATGTGGCAACATTCACTTAACAACTGTCTCACTTAGCAACAGAAATTTTGGGTTCAGTTGTGGTTTGTCAGTTGAGGACTGCCTGTATAAAAAATTATGGGGAAATGTCCTTTCCTATATTCTTTAAAAAAATTACCATACTATCATCACTGAACCAGCACCATGTTCCTCAAGACATGGCTTAAGATCGTGGTAATTTTGCATTTGTATTTTAGTATTTTTATTATTGGAGCCCTTGGAGGATCAACTTCCTATCATTTTACTGCAGCTCTCAAAGATTTAAATAATTGGAGAATTTATGCTGCTGACAAACAAAGCTAAAAATAAACAGAAATCTGAAATCAAAGGCAGAAAGGCCTGGTGAAAACTGCAGTAGAGAAACTCTTTTCAACTCAAATATTCTTAAAAGCACTCCAAAAGAGCTTAATTCCCATTTGTTTATGAGCACAGCTGTCCAAAGGAAATTATGTTAAACTATTTGTATACAAGCATTTAATACATAGAATTATACTTACAGCTTTAATAGCTACTCCTGGATAAAAGATGTATGAAGAATTTCCTATTTACTTTCATCAACTTTGCTAATGCTACTAATAGACTGGTTGCTATGCATCAATAATAAATTATGTTTTGAGAATTAAGATTTCTTTAAGGATTAAGATGATAAATGATAGTTTTTAAATGGAATTTTATTTATATGCAAATTGAATATAAGCCACAGATTTACTTGTTTTTTTTCTTAGGCATAAGCTAAAGTCATTCTAATAAAAGGTGATAAATTATGCTAGTTTGAGCAATGATATTGAACGAACATTTCAGAAAATATGCACATTTTGAATGAAGGAATGGAACTTTATTTCATGGTTATTAAAATACAATATTGTGTTGCTATGGATAAGCAAATTGCCCACTCAAAGGAATATTTCATGACAGGCTCAAAAACTACAAAGAAATGCAAGAAAGAAAAATTGAAACTTCAACTTCAGACAAAGCTATTATTCATTCATGACCCATATACCCATATTAAGCAAACTTCTCTCTTACTTAGACAGGAGAAGAGACTTTAATTATCTTGGAGGATTTCAATGTGGATGCAAATTCAGCCTTGTGGAGACAGAATGTGACTTCCACAGTATTCAGTAACAGGTTTAAACTCCTCCAAGACATATTAGCCACATTATCTCATCTGAACAGATGCAAGGTATACCTGCCAGAATCAGTCCTGATTGGAAAATGAACAAAGCAAAGCAGTTCCCTTGCATTATGGGAAGCATGGATGCTTACATCCAAGTGACATGGGATGTTCATGTTAGAATTACCACTTCTGTAGTCAAAACAAATTTAGACCCTGAAGCATTGCTTTTATAGCGTACTATGCAGCTCTAGGGATGATCTGCAAAAGGAAGTTCCACCAAGAATACTGATTAAATAATCTCAAAATTTTCCAAACTAGTTTCTATTTTAACAAATAGAAACATTTCTGCTTGTGCTGGTGATGAAGAAAAGCAGTAAAGAAGCAGCGACCTTTCTGTTTTCATGTTTTAAGCTTAGGATGATGGTTTTTAGATTGGATGATTGAAAAAGTATTGAATAAAAGGGTGAGATTGATTACAATTATATTTAAGGAGGAGGAGGAATAATTTTGATTGTAGCTGCTATAAGGAAGGTCAGATTTTTTTAAAAAAAAATCTTTAATGGTATTGTAGGTGCTCTCAGTAGAGGCTTTTAAGAAGAGATTGTCTGAAACCAGTATAGGTATAGGGTCTCCTGCTTGAGCATGGGATTGGACTAGAAGACCTCCAACGTCTTTCCAATTCTATTATGCTGTTATTTTGTTGTCTTCTTTACTTTTATATATTTATTTTTCTTTTATTCAAGTGAAATATTTTTGAAAAAAACCAAAATACTTTTTTGAGAAATAAAAATAATTTCCGAATAAAAATTATTTTAAAAATGAAAGGTTTGAGTAGTATAATAATCCCCACCAAAAAAACATCCAGCAAGGGCATGTTTATATTAGCTAGGTAATACAAGTGGAAACCACCCTTTTCTCAGGACGCAAGCTATTCCAGAGGAGGAGAGCTGCCACTGAGTATGCCTACTATGAAACTCGATTTTGTCACACCATCTGATAAGTAGGGACCCTTAGTAGGTGCTCATTAGTCAAATGGAGAAACTTTGTGCCCAATACCAGTGGAGATTAATCAAAGGAGATTTGAATTCTGGCTTCTGTTGGCATCCGACCCCTTCTTTAAAATGGTATGATCCAGTGGGTGCCTCAAATAATGTATTCTTGAAATTGGTAAGCCTTTTTTGGCTTACAGGATTAGCCTTTCTCTCAAATTCTAGCATTTCAAATACTGGCGAG